TATGTTAAAAAGAACAGACATATGCCACTAATATCGCTCGGCCATATATGAAATCAACGCACGTAGCGCCAAATAAGGCCACGTTACATCTGCTACTCTACATTGATATACGAATATGGAATCCCAAAGTTACCGTATTTTTACGGACCATAGGGTGCACCGTCAATGAATTGCTTAGGCCTAGGGGGTTTGTAAATGCATAAGGCGAACAGGGCCGAACATAAAGCACTACCTAGCACACGCATATGCCTCACCGTCATTAAATGGCGGTGGCTGGGCTTTATGCTTACATAGGACGCACCGGACTAGAAGGCGTAGCCCGTACTGGTGTTGAGTGTAGCGTTACGGTTATCCATGCATTTGTGTAATTGGCCTACAAGGCGCACGATCAATTTTCAGGATAAAGATGGATAAATAAAATATTATAGTGACTAATAATAACGATTTTCCCAATGTTTGGGTTGCGAGATATTAATAAAACAAAATATAATTCAATCCGAATTATGTTGGGTTTTTATAGTATTCTGACTTTCAATTCTCCCTTCAATTCACCTCTGCTATAAAAAAAGGTTGCATATAACAATTATTTCCAGTGAAAGTGGGAATTGTGACGCGACAATTCCTACACGAGTTAGATTTCTCATAAAAATGTTGTCGGAAACAATATGACCGCCCTGCTTGATTCGTCACAAAGCTAATTAAATTTAAAATCATAGTAGCAAAAATGTCGGCAATTTTTGGGGCTCATGGAAATATTGGGGGGGGGGTTGGCGGACAGGGTCAGGGAAAGACCACGTTTCATCATAACTCGACATAATTCATAATCGCTGACATTTCTAACTCCCAGAGTGGTGTGATCATTGCCCGATTCAACAGTGAGTAACCGACATAAAAAAAATTTCAAATTAATTTCAATCAAAAAATTCAAACGAGCACTGCACGATTTAAGTCAATACACCATTGGTTTCGAGGAATCAAAATTTGGAAAATTGTTGCCGTTTGAACTAGTTATAACCCTGGCATCCGATTTTTCACATTTTAACCGATTGCCAACGAAATAGCAATGCAAATAAAGCCGCCATCTATCTCGTCTTTGTTTGCTGTTATCGGAATTTATAGAAAAGTTTCCAGCCTTTATTTCCTAATTTACCTCTTTGCGAATTTAAAATAAAATTAAACCCCTCATGGCAAAACCCAATTTTTATGTCCATAAATCCCGGCATTTTAATGCATTTATACGTATGGTCAGTGTTTGGAAAATATAGTGAGGGATTCGAGTAAATTTATAATCAGAATGTCTTACTCATATATTTGAATACAGATAGCGTTATATTTGCGTTGGGCTGTTTGAACAGAAAGTAAATGATTGACGTGAGCTTCCGCGATTTTTTTAAACGATAACCATCTCGTATCATTACGAATGTGTTTTGGAAATGCGTTACTTTGAAATCATGGAGTTACTCATGAGCGATAAAGCGGAAATTTAGACGAACTATAGCGGGAATTGCACAAGAAGTTTGAATAATATTGTCTGGTTTGAACAGAAAGTATATGATTGACGTCTACTTCCACGATTTTTTTTAAACGATAATGATCTCGTATAATAACGAATGTGTTTTGAAAATGCGTTACTTTGAAATCATGATGTTAGTCATGAACGATACAGCGGAAATTTAGACGAACGATAGCGGGAATCGCACAGAAATTTATACTATATACTATGCCTACATCGACATTTTCAATACCTTTAATCTAGTGCCAGCCTGGACCAAAGCTCTATACATTCTTTGGGGAGCAAACCTAATTTATTAATCCTAGTTTGACTGTGACACAAACATAAATTCAGCGCAGCAACACACGACCATGGAATGTTATGTTAAACAGAACAGACATATGCCACTAATATCGCTCGGCCATATATGAAATCAACGCACGTAGCGCCAAATAAGGCCACGTGACATCTGCTACTCTACATTGATATACAAATATGGAATCCCAAAATTACCGTATTTTACGGACCATAGGGTGCACCGTCAATGAATTGCTTAGGCCTAGGGGGTTTGTAAATGGCATAAGGCGAACAGGGCGAACATAAAGCACTACCTAGCACACGCATATGCCTCACCGTCATTAAATGCGGTGGCTGGGGCTTTATGCTTACATAAGACGCACCGGACTAGAAGGCGTAGCCCGTACTGGTGTTGAGTGTAGCGTTACGTTATCCATGCATTTGTGTAATTGACCTATAAGGCGCGCAATCAATTTATAAGATAAAAAGGATTCAGAGTGCGCCTTGTGGTCCGTAAAATACGGCATACTGACTTGCTCGTATCAGCCAGAAGTTGGCTCAAAAACTGCGCGAAGGGATAAATAAAATATAATAATATCTAATAATAACGATTTTCCCAATGTTTGGGTTGCGAGATATTCATGAAACAAAATATAATTTAATTCGAATTATGTTGGGTTTTTATAGTATTTTGACTTTCAATTCTCCCTTTAATTCACCTCTGCTATAAAAAAAGGTCGCATATAATGATTTCCAGTCAAAGTGGGAATTATGACGCGACAATTCCTACACGAGGTAGATTTCTCATAAAAATGTTGTCTGAAACAATATGACATTCCTGCTTGATTCGTCACAAAGCTAATTAAATTTAAAAAATCATAGTACCAAAATTATCGGCAATTTTTTTGGCTCATGGTAAATATTTAAAAAGAATGAAACGTTGGAGAGGGGATTGGCGGACAGGGTCAGGAAAGACCACGTTTCATCATAACTCGGCATAACTCATAATCGCTGACATTTCTAACTCCCGAGTTGTGTGATCATTGCCTGATTCAACAGTGAGTAACCGACATTAAAAATATTTCAAATTAATTCAATCAAAAAATTCAAACGAGCACTGCACGATTTTACGTCAATACACCATTGGTTCGAGGAATCAAATTTGAAAATTGTTGCCGTTTGAACTAGCATAACCCTGGCATCCGATTTCTCACATTTTAACCATTGCCAACGAAATAGCGATGCAAATAAAGCCGCCATCTATCTCGCCTTTGTTTGCTGTTATCGGAATTTATAGAAAAAGTTTCCAGCCTTTATTCCCTAAATTACCTCTTTGCGAATTTAAAATAAAATTAAACCCCCATGGCAAAACCCAATTTTATTATGTCCATAAATCCCGGCATTTTAATGCATTATACGTATAATATGTCAGTGTTTGGAAAATATAGTGAGGGTTTCGAGTAAAATTATAATCAGAATGTCTTACAGATATATTTGAATACAGATAGCGTTAAATTTGCGTTGGGCTGTTTGAACACAAAGAAAATGATTGACGTGAGCTTCCGCGATTTTTTAAACGATAACCATCTCGTATAATCACGAAAGTGTTTTGGTAATGCGTTACTTTTAAATCATGGTGTTACTCATGAACGATACAGCGGGCATTTAGACGAACCTTAGCGGGTATTGCACAGAAATTTTTGCTAATATTGAGTGGTTCTCAGCGCTATTATACTATACCAGGGTAGTCCAAACCCAGGCCCGCGGGCCACATGTGGCCCACCGCTTCATTATCTGTGGCATATTGACATATCGACATATTGTTGCATAACTAAATGTCACTGATTGACTAGTGTTGTGGCTTGCTGAGGCAACTAGCGAAGTTAAACAGCGAAGTTCTTGGCACTATTGTGGCCCGCGAACAATGAAAAAGTAATTTTGTGGCCCGCGGAGCTGCCAATCTTGGACCAACCCTGTGCTTATTACTATACTTACATCGACATTATTTGATAAATGTTATCTAGTGCTAGGCCTGGACCAAAGCTCTATACATTGATTTTGAAGCCAATCTAATTGATTTATCTAAGTTTAACTGTGGCACAAATATAAATTCAGCCTCACTAACACACGGGCCATGGAATGTTTGTGATCAAACTGAACAGCGACTCGTATTGCTCACCCATCTATGTATTCAACGCAACGCCGAATAAGGACAAGGCGAGACTAGGGCTTTTTCTATACATAAGGCGCACTGGGTTAGAAGACTTAGCCCGTACTGTACTGATTTTGAGAGTAGCGCTTAACTAATCCATACATTTGTGGGCGTTCCTGTAGTATGTGCAACCAGATGGCGCCACAACCTGATAACCCTTACTTGGTACACACACTATGTTAAGGTTGTGCGCCATCTTGGTGCACATCAGGTGCACTACTTCAGGTACTATGTATTCGACGTCCAAAAACCTATATTCGACGTACAACACCTATCTTCTACATCCGAAAACTTATATTCGACGTCCAAAATTCTATATTCGACGTCCGAAATACTATATTCGACTGGTGGGCCGCTAAAAACTGTTATCCCAGCTGCAAGGGGTGGAACTTTCAAGACCAGTAGCATCAGAATTTTGACACCTACAGTTACTTAAGCAAGGCTAGCAAACGCCACTATCTTGGAAAGGATATTTTAGTTTTGTTAATTCGACTCTTTCTAATGAATCGGGATATTTTGTACAAAGCCCTTGACAGAAAAAAACTCATCCGCCACCGCCCCAACAAATAATAATTATCCAGTAAGAGTGAGGGCTAGGAATGCAGATTGCGCTGGAAATTCAAATCATTCCTTATCCTTAATTTTCATTTAGTATATCTTTATCTACCGAAACTGGGAGAGCGAAATCCATCAGAAAATGTATCTGAAATTCACCGAATATTACTCACGGGTGTGGTATCGACGACGTCGTTTCATAAAGATAGAAAGAGCAGCCCAAACTCTCTTTTGTGACGCAACACGTATCCTAAAATTTGAAAGAGAGAGAACAATTTCTCTTCCCGCTTCAGAGTAGTGAGTCAGCTTGCATAGGATATATTCCGATGTGAATAGACTGAAGCTTCATTCTAAACTTTGCTGTTCGAAAATTTATTTTCATCGAAGCGAAATTGACGAAATCCTTGGATTCGAAATGAAGATTCCGATTCGACACAGTTTATCGGACTAATACTGTTGATGGAAGCTTGTTTATTCATTAAAGGTAGTATAATCGTGCATGCTTTGTTCGGTTTGCTTGTTTGCCTGTTATTTTTATTTTTTGAAGAAGGCTGGGGGTAGGATGGAGGGATGGATATTATAATTAAATTTTTGATTATTTGATCCCCAGCTGGTGAGTAATTCTGACATCAAGTAGAAGTTTTCCCCAGTAAATCAGGCAGGATATTTGAGCTATTCTTATGGAAGCTGAACATTGAATAAATTTTTGGGCCAAAATTCTATATGTTAGCGCTGTTTTTTCAATCGGCTAGTAATATTTGCTTATTTTACAAAAAAAAAAAAAAATATTTTAAAACCTCACCAGCGATATTCAAATATTAAAATTAGTGCAATAAATTGGTTATTCAAAAATTATATAAAGCCCTAAAAAAATCAGGTCGTTGATATTTAAACAGCAAGAACCTTTTATAAGTATAGAATTCAGAAATCTAATAATTTTCGTCCTTAGTGTATTGATGACGTTATTTTATAAATTTCAATATTTTTTCTGAACCACGTCAAAAAAAAATTGTACAAAAGAAGATGAAAAAAAACATTATTTGTCCAAGTTAACAAATTTTACCATATATCTCATAATTATATTGGTAAATAAACGTTTTAGCTACTAAAGGCGACACGACTTAATTGTGAATCGAAACAATTTTTTGGCGAATTTTGAAGCTGTTTTCTCGCGTCGCGCCCGGTATATTTGTATCAGAAGAAATATTTATTTATTCCGGCGTAGAGATGTCGTATGACGGTGTAATAGTATGGCGAACCTCGGTCTCTCGATAAAGGTTAAACCTACATTTAATTAGGAAATTTTTTTTTATCCGATATCTTATTCTCTGAATACCTCGTTCATTTTGCCAAGTATTGGGTGAGTTTCTGTACTGTAGAAAAGGTTTGATTTACCGATCAAAGTAATTTGAAGCCTAGGTGCCTCAATCTTAGGGCCCCGGCATTTAATTTTAAACTGTTTTCAGCCATTTTTAAGTCGTTTTTAAATCGTAAAAGATAGTTCTAGAATAAAACCGGTTTAAAAGTAGATAATAGTCAATTAATTTTTGATGTCATAATATATTCTTTATTACGTCATTGTTCAAGAGAAATCTCACAAATGGCACAGCCTAGGGCCTCTTATCGTCTTAATCCCACAATGGCGGTAGATCTTAGTAAATGGCTCTTCCCTCATAACGATGTAAAACGATACAACGCTTTTGGTTTTGAAATCTCCGATGCGAGCATCACCTCATTTGATTTGGTTTTTAAACCTAAAATTTTAAATATCGTCATATACACTCAAATGTCCAGAAGGGAAAAATCTCTCATAGATAAGGGGCGTGGTGGCCAATTTGTGAAGCGTCATCTTGGACGATGTTCGTGCATAAAAACGTTTCCCGCTGTGCAAATTTTGTAGCCATAAGTTTTGAGCTATTTTAAGGTTGCCGCTGACAAGTAGACCGAATGGTCATTTCGCGGTTATCCTGCCATCCCGTACAAATATTTTTATGATCTTTCTTGTTTTTATTTCATTATAACAAAAGCAGCAAACTATGGGAAATTCAACTTTCAAGAGTTTATTGTTCGTCAAAAAAATTGAAACGATTCTCAAAAACCGGAAACTTAATCGCGGGTATCGGTCAGCAATTAGCCCATGCCCGCTAAACATTGTTAGGTTCCCCAATGGCGGGCGTAATAATTCAAATTTGATTCGACCAATCATCATCGAGAAGTAAAAAAATAGAGCGTTCGCATGACATGTGTAAAAGTATAAAATTTAGTATGGAATGAGCGAATGCGCGCCATAAGTGGATAGGTTCTGAATTTGTCTCGTTATGAAAAAAGTTTATTAACATATTTTTTGTTTATCTGTTTTAAAACTATTTTAAAATAAACATATTATAAATGAACATTTCGATCGATTTCTAATTTCAATTTTCTCCTAATAACAGGTGAGAAATGCTGGATGCCTATGGTTTGCGACGGGCAACCTACTTGGAGAGACGTTAAGGTGAGAGTGGTAGTGCTTAGTGGTAGTTTTATATTGCTGGTATTATTTGTGAAAATAAAACTGTTTTGTTTGAAATCGGGAACAAATATAAGAAAATAGAACGTTCTAGCGATTTTTTCTGTAAGTAATGGAGGTTTGAAACTAACACTGAGTTCGATGGGACCCGATACTTTATCCCAGATTCTACGTTTTCACTTTTTTCCATGGGAACACTTTTTTACGGCATATGGAAAGACTTGCTTAGCTAGGGCCTTACTACTCGGATGTGCAACCTACATATCCATATATTCAAACATTTCTCTTGTTCTATTTCAGAATGGACAGTGCACAAAAGACGAAGAGAAGGCTTTGGAAGGTTAGCGTCTACAATATAATTCGAAATACGTTTGTTAAACAATCGTTTTATTGGTAAAATTCAAATCATTTTATATCTTTAATGCGTCATTTTTAACAATCACATCTAACGTGGAGTTTAGCAATACCCATCTCATATTCTTATTTTTAACGGGAGAGAGCGGTACATATCTTCTAACAAAAAATTCACCGAATTCGGACTGTAAAACTGATGGCTCAAATTAAATTCTGATTTCGTTTCGCAGCCTTAACGGAACAATTACACGGAATGAAAAGTGAGCTCCATCAGTTAAAAAAGACAATGGAAAAATCAGAGACAAACTCAGTGCTGTCCTCTGTTGCAAGTGTCAAAGAAGCGACCACGCCCTCTGTTGCAAGTGTCAAAGAAACGACCACGCCCTCTGTTGCAACTGTCAAAGAAACGACTGCACCCTCTGGTGTAGGTCTTGAAGAAGCGACACGAATTCTGTTGTAGGTGTCAAAGAAACGACCACTCCCAATGGTATGAAGTTTTAATGATGTTATTTGCATGCACTAGAATAGATACTAAAATAGTCCATTTCAGTCATAGTAATCGGCAATACGGCGATTGTGCGAAGAAACTGAAATAGAAAAAAATTGAAATATATTCACATTGCCATTTAGTACCTTAAAGTACCCAGAACTATAAATCTTGCTGTAAACTTGTAATATAAACTCAAATTTTTCACACAGGATACAAAGACAAGACAACTTCTTCTACCAGCGCTTCAACCGCCATTGGCACATCACCTTGGTCAACTAAGGAAGCCTTTTTCTCTACTTTTCGCCCACAAACTACAAAATTTGAACAGAATACAGGTTGGTGCGGCTTTCCCTCTCTCGTTTTTCACTCGGAAAATATTTTCCCACATAAACGCTTTTTAGTACGCGTCAAATATATAAGTTTGGAATTCCTCAGCACCCTGAAAAATTGCGAAAAGTGGATCATTATGTATTAGTATTTGCCTTGTCTTACGCCATGTTTGGAGTGAGATGTGAAAACGAATCACAAAAACACTAAATGTATTTACTTGATTATAAGACATCAACGTTTTCACCTAAGATTATTCTTGAAAAACTAACTTCTTCATCCCCGCAAGACGCCTTAATATAGGGCAGAGCAAAATTACCTCAAGATGGCGTCCATAGTCTGAGCGCTGTATCTCTTGATGTCCCTTGATACTATCGTTTCGCGGTGCAACTGGGGAACTCGGGTCTGGTATCGTACCACGAGTACCTCTGCCACCGCAATGCCAGTCAAATGCTTGGTGATTTCTACCGGATGTCATAACTGCTTATTTACATGAGTCGTAAAACGAAAATCAAAATTTCAAAATCTTGTTATAAATTTATTTTTACTATATTCATCGTAGATAGATTGCGGTGACATTTCGCGACCTTTTGAGGCTCGAATATTGGCAAATTTGTAAAAATTGAAAATTTTGTTTAGATAATTTGATTATTTCGGACCTTTCCGAACCCGGGGGCAAAAATTTGAAGCTACTTATTAATACAGGGATAATATAAAAACTAATCGCAATAAAAAATTTGTGGTGACATCCTGCTTTTTTTTTAACTCTTTGGGGTTCAAACCGACAGTCGCGTGTCGAGGTATACCTTTGTGAACGCACTTCTAAAGCCATCTCGACTGTCTTCATTGACTTTATTGTTATCGAGAGTTCATGCGCATATTCTCTGTCTAAATAACGGTTTCAGTTCGAAAAATAGAAAGGAATTGGCGTAATCGATACAAAATATTTCGCATTTAGCCACATAATGATTGCAGTGCACTTTATCGTTAAGATTTCTTTTAAATATGGATATTCTCGATTTAGATAATTTGTAAATGTACATTTACACGTACAGGGCTTACACGTAACAAATCATGCCAATTATCCGATAGCAATGAAAAAATAACAAAACAAACAAAGTCACGCACACATCTTCAGTAAGTACGCTACACAGCCACAACAGTAACAAAAACAGGCTAATTGGTAATATTCCACTCATTATGCTGGCTGAAAGCCAAAGCAGGACCTTTGGCTGAACGGCCGGGACAAGACGTTAAAAAGTAGGAATGTCCCGCCTAAAACGGGACGTATGGTGAGCCTAGGTTTAACTATGAGCCCTTTCCGCCCTAAAGCCCGAATATTGATCGATGATAGCGGAAGCCGCACCCAGTCAGCGAGGCCATAACCACCTAAGACCTCGGTGTCTTATTTGTGTCATTCAAAAAAAAACATAAAAAAATAATTTATTTATATCTGACCAGTATCGCGGTTTGAGTCGCCTGACCCGAAATATTTCTTTATACACTGCGGTCCCATTGAAGATATGCTTTCCCGTGGTGCAGTAAGCACATGCTTATTTATTTTGCTTAGTGGACAGGTTGGAATTTTGATCCTAAATTCTATGTCATTTCCTGTCATAATTTAACATGAAGTTATTCAATGACCACAATAATGTTTTCAGATAAGTGTGGCGTCACATACAAGAAAAAATGCTACCGAGCGGGTATGTATGATGTGAACAACGTTACATTCAACGATGCCGAAGCAATCTGCAAATCAATGAACGGAAAACCCGCGAATATTTACGACCTCAAGCATTACCAGCTGCTGCTCCCTTATCTACGTTCACTGATCCCTGCTGGTGAGATATGGATTTACATCCCGGACTGGGATGGAGTATAAGGTCAGTTGATGGATCACAATCTCAGCAGAGTTCGAATTTTTATAAAGATTATAAAGTTAACCGGGTCGAGGATTGACCAAAAGCGCTTTTTAATAAAATTACCGAATAATGGGAGGTCAAACATTGCCTTATGATTTATTAGAAGATTGGATAATTAAAAAAAACAAAATATAGAAATATAGTTTACAATATATTGTGACGTCATAGCCTAGCCGTCTGATCGCGTATCTTTTTAATTTACAAACATTTTAGAATTTGTAATTAATTGATTTCTGGTTTTCACCCATTTTCATGCAGTTCCAAACACAAGAATGACGCATGTTGCTAACATTACTCACCATACGTCTATCTATGCTGACAACCTTTATTATGGAGACTATTCCTACACGCAAATATTTTCATTCTTCATCTAATATGTCAGTTGCATTAACATTGCATGCAATAGATATTGAAAGTGTTTATTCAATTGTGACAGAACAATCAGCTTTTGCTGTCCAATGGAAGACCAATCACTATAGCAACAGAAGTGTGGTATCCTACTTATCCGGAACCCGTAGCATCGAGGACAAATGTTGGTGTTGGTGTCGATAAAGATCCTGGGAATGCAGATCAGGGAATGTTCAATGTTTCACCATCCTACCCATACAACGGTGTCATCTGTGAAATATAAAACCAGATCAAAACCTGACAGAACTTCGTTGACGAATTCAATGATAAAAAAGACAAAAACAGTTAAATGACTGTTGTTATCTATATAGATTTTCATTAAAATTTTTGTTCGCTTTTCTATAGCCGTTGTTCTAAATGTTCTAATTATGATAGGTCCATGTCTGATTATGCAAAATTTATAAGCTGCCCATGAACGATCTGATCTTAAATTACTCTTCAATTTTACTAAAACGAATATTTTTACAAAGTCTGTTTTTCAAGCCTTAAAACCTTAAAACCGATTTTATTTATGAAAGAAGTCTAAATTACGTGTTTATAAAAGTTAAATTACTAATATTTTTACTTATGCATTTTTATTCCACACTGAAGCCGGCCTGTGAATATGATTAGACAAAGGCCACAAGTATGTTCGTCCTAATATAAATGAAACTTGATTTTTACTTATGATTACTCACTTTCAGTGGCAGAATTCAAAAATCTAAGAACGGGTTCTCTATTGCATCGAACTCGCTAACAACGGGTTCTCTCATTTTAGAGAAACATACTGAACTAAATCATAAAAATACAGGAACGGTTTGCAAGAGCCTCTTGAATCCTGCCACTGCTTACTTATATATTGTTCCTTTACTATTATTCTATTATTAACCGTATAACCCATGCCTTGAACTGGTCGCCTTGTCTATTGAAACGTATTTGCTCAGTAAATAAATTCATAGCTGTCTCCATGTGATTTCTGTATATAACCAAACATGATAATAAATATTGATTCGATCATTTTTGGGTTTCTTCGTTCTTGTTCTGAAACAGTGAGTCAGTTATTGGAGAAGCGAATGAAACCAGATATCTGGGAAAAGCGTTGAATCTACCCTCGTTCACAGATTACACTTAGAACAATATATCGAAATTCTCTGCCCAAACCTAATATCTAATATGACCCAACACGGTACTGGTAACCGGACGAGAGTATCGATGAACTCCCTTTGCAAAATATAAAATATTTTAAGACTTATGGACACCCTATATCTTCGATAGCCTAACAAACGCCGTTATGAGTGTTGTTATTACATTGTGTGAGGGAAGGGAGCATGACCTAGGTTGCCGCGGTTCACTAATGATATTGCGTCATGCAGGTTTGTAGCATAGAAAATATTAATAATAGGATCAAAAAAAGCGAAACCGTTTTGACAAATAATTCGTTGTCGTTCGGAGTGAACCATTCGGTAATAAGTAGTAACAATTTGAGTGTGGTCTTAACTGAAAGGCAGGTGTTTTAGTTATTTGCAAATATACAACATTAAACGCATCACTTCGGGAGAAAATAAAACTCGCGTTTGAGATTGAGAAAGCCCCAAACCCGGATTTCTAAGGTCCTGAATCAGCCGTATTACGTCATATTAAAATATTTGCTCCCCATAAAATATATATATTTTGGGCTGTCTAGCGCTCTTAACGTTCTTAAAATATTG